CCCGCCGCTGTGTCTGCCCGTCCGCCCGGGAGAACTGAGGGGGAGCGAGACCTCCGGAGCTTGCGAATAGAATGGGACGAGCCGCTCCGCTGTCGCATGAAACTCTGCAGGCACTGGCTCCAGTTACGGGCTCTCGCTCTTCCCGAAAGCCATCCCGCCATGAGGAGTTTCTCGGATGCTTCTCAGGCTGTGGTAAAAATACACGAAATTATTCGTAGCTTGATGTTTTTAAAAAAGTGGCAGATTGACTTTCTGGCGGTTCATTTGCAAACCCTGAATGAGCTTGTTTGCAGCTGCCAAAGAAGGAGAAGCGTTAGAAATGCCGTTCTTCTACCACCTTCCCTTTTAGAAGGAATTAGTAAGGGCCAACAGCCCATCTCATTTTTACAACTAAACAAGCAAAAGGTTGCAAAGGAATGATACCTTGAGGAGGAAAAAAAGAGGATGCTATTTTTCCCCAAAACAAAAAACCTCACCCTTGAAATACCTTAAAAACACATTGTAAACCAAAGCAATATACAGCCCTGAGGTCCACATTATTATCACGCTTTCCTAACACAATAAATAACCTCCTGTAACTACCAGTTTATATAATTACCTCTGGTGTGTCTGCAGATGAGGCTAAACATGAGTGTGAAACATTTTTGACTCTTCAGTTTTTAATCTAGTGTCATAAGCGCTGGATAATCTTTACAAATATGCAGAAGTACTACAGAAAATACTGTTCTTGCAATTGTTTTCTACTTGCTTATTTATTTTTTGTATTGGTTCTAATAATTTATACCTGTGTTCTTACCTTGCTCACTTCCTTTTTTTCATAGCTCCACAACTAATATTCCTAAAAAAGACTCTCCTTGGGCCTGGTCCTGTGAACTTAGGTAAGAAACATCATTCTCAGTAGTAAGTACTATTCCATACAAGAAGCTTGCAAGACAGATTGTAGTCTTCTGTAACAGCAAATTAAGTTGTTGGAGGGTATTTGCGTTTCATGGAAATAAATGAGTTTATTTTTTCCTATATTGTTCTATGTCACTTTCACTTGTATTTAATCCGTAATTAAATAAAATATTATTTATTTACAAGCAATTCTCTAACATCCTGTGTAAGAAAAGATACACTAATGTATTTTCTCCAGAACCATAGTATTTTAACACTTTTTTTTACTCAGTTTCACAACATTTCAATGTAATATATATTTCCAAGTCCATGCTGCACTCTACTTGAAGGGAGTTTGTATAAGCATACTCAAAATTAGCTTTAACAAAGCTATCCTGGGCAACAGAAGCAATGATGGAGCAGCATAACAGTCTAGCTGTCCAGCATCTAGAATCCCTAGATACATAATTTGTGTTAAAGCTTATTATTTGTAAATCCATCTAGCTAGGCTGGGGGATCTAGGAGGCAAACACAAATAGAAACTGAAGCTCACTGTCAAACTGTTTGCCTACCTTTTGCAAAATTACAAATATTGTTTTGGCTGCATACAAGTTCTCATGGCAAGCTAGAGCCTTTGGAAGCATACAAAATACGTAATCTCTTCTTCCCTGCAAAAATATATACAAAATAAACTCCATTTTTTCAGTTCCACTATTGTGTCTCATAGCTTTTAGTATGATTATCTGACCAATTTCACCTTGTAAAATGATAGCTTTAAGAATGTTTTCACCTCACACAATTTTGTTACTATAAAAAATTCCAATCACTCCTTTTAACATTTTATGTCAAGTATCAAGGCTACAGTGACATCTTGTGGCATTTTTTAAACTGTAGGTAAAGAAGCAATTCTGTTGTAGTCCTATTGTGTCACTTTAAGAATATATACCGATTTTTTCAATTTAAATATATCTTCTAGATACAATTTTAAAAATGCTGTTTTGCAACACCATTAATTTCTACAGAACAGAAGTGCTGATGATCTTTTTAGACTCCAAATTATTTCCAAATGACATCAGATAATCACAGAATCACAGAATGTTGGGGATTGGAAGGGACCTCGAAAGATCATCTAGTCCAATCCCCTACCAGAGCAGGAACCTAAATGAGATCACACAGGAAGGCGTCCAGGCGGGTCTCAAATGTCTCCAGAGAAGGAGACTCCACAACCTCCCTGGGCAGCCTGTTCCAGTGCTCTGTCACCCTCACTGTAAAGTAGTTTTTTCCTCAAGTTTAAGCGGAACCCCCTGTGCTCCAGCTCACACCCATTGCTCCTTGTCCTATCGTTGGGCATCACTGAGAAGAGCCTGGCTCCATCCTCATGACATTTGCCCTTAACATAGTTGTAAACATTAATTAGGTCTCCCCTCAGTCTCCTCTTTTCCAAACTAAAGAGACCCAGCTCCCTCAGCCTTTCCTCATAAGGGAGATGCTCCACTCCCTTAATAATCTCTTAGAAGAAATCATCACATGCATATTATTTTGTTAAAAATATAAATTCTCAGTAATATATTTCATTAAAGAATATTAAGACACTTTTGTAACCATCAAGGGATAAAAAGTTACCATTCTTTTAAAAATAAACCTCTTTTGGTTCCTCACAATGAATTATGGCTAGAGCTGAAGTCTTATCTTTGAATTTTCTTTGCCATCTAAGACTAACTGCTTAAGACTTTGGTTTTTGATGGCTTTTTTTTCCTCATGAGTGGGCCTTACCTGAATTAAGTGCATGTATGTGCCAACATGTACATATTTTTTTTAAAAAATGAAATAATCTGTATGCAATCTGTGATCTTACTTTAGACATTAACACTGAAAAACTGGGTGAATAATCTGAAAATAAATACATCGCAAATCTGCTTTATGTATTTTATTTGATAATGGTACAAATTAAATTTACCAGTATAATAAAAGCTTGTTCTATTAATTCTTTCACTGATACAGAAGAACAAAAAAAACCCCAACAAAAACCCAAACCCCACCAAAACAACTCCATCCCCCCAACAAAGAACCCAATACTAAATCATCTGGCTAAGTTAACAGTTCATTTCACATTTTAAAAGTAAGGTAAACAACATCTGTGAGTCTTCACCATTCTAGTCAATACTGCACAGAACAGAAATTACAGACCACTAAGTAAATGAAATGCAGTAAACTACCACTGGGAAAGTTGCATTTATGGAAAGATCACAGCCCTGTTTGCATACTACTTATCATTACACCACAATAATTAAAATCTGCTTTTCACTATTACAACAAAATTAAGCAGACTTTACATTGTCATGTTAAGATTTTGCCCTTTGAATTTTACAAAAGTACTAGGAAGACTTCACTGAACAGAAACCAAACCACTGATAGAACAACACTAAAGAATCCTCCCTTCCCCAAAGAAACTCATTCACACCCAGAACCAGCCCTGGCATAAAGAACTTGTCGCGGTTTTCAACCACTTTTTGTTCAGCTAACTTATTAAAAAAAAAGGTAAAATTATACACCATTTGTGCAGATGCTATTTGTGTACTAGGTACTGGCTGTTATTCATTACCCATAGATACCTCTGAACTGATACTAAGAATCAATTAAAAGCTGATGCAGATGAAACTAAATGTACTTTGGATGCCAGATTTGACTCCTCTCTGTGATACCGGAAAATCACTGTCTTTTGTTCCTTTCTCCATACCACAAAAAGGTTCTGTAACTGCAATGGAAAGGTTTGTCCTGTGTATGTTAACACAATGTTTCCAGAACTAGAGTCCCAATCTAACAAAAGCTGTTAGTAATAGCTCTGTTTCTTGCTACAGGTGAAGCCAGGGAATTCAGAGACTGATAATAGTCCAGCCCTGTCAAATATCATTGTACCTTAAAATATATATTTTTTTTAAATAATGCTGTCCTGTGTTGCTGCTAGCCAAGGGCTAGACCAGTGAAACTTTCACAAATGCTCTACCCATTCATTGCACTTTTTAATTCTGTTGTCATAGCCACCAAAAACAGAGATGAAAAGAACCAAAAAGTAAAGTAAATACTTATTTGAAAGAGTAGTTAAAAAACCAGTAGAGCTGTAGTATCACGAAGTGTACACTCTGTAATAAATATAGAAACGCTCACTCTTATTAGGAATTGTAAATAAGATATTTTAGGATTTTCTTGGGCACATTTTTATAACAATGTACATGCAAAATATCAAAATAAAACTAAGTACTAAAGAGAGTATTAATAAGTAATATCCCATCCATTTTTTCTACCTGCTTATAAAAGTTTCATATTTCATGTATTAACATTTTTTAACACTTCCAATTGCTAGGTTTTACCTTTCAGCTGCTAGCAGTGTTTCAGCAACTCTAGGCAAATTAATAATAGAAAAAAAGCCACATAAGAGATTATTTTCCGCTATCTCAGCAGTAGTAGATACTGTAGGCAATGGTTTTAGGACTACTGGAGATCAAGGTGAGGTACTCCTTCCTGGCTTGCTTTCACAGCAGCTCAGGAACATCTCAGAATACAGAATACGTATATACAAACTTCAAAGGGGTTCTGTACAGGAGTCTAGAAGGCTGGCCAACAGTTTACTGTAGCCCTTCTACAGTTTCACTGGGAACTGGGTAGGAGGTGAGGAGAGGAGGGAGAAGGCAAGGAATCATCTCAACATATAGCTATCAAAAAAATGCCTAGACCTCATTTGACTAGATATATGTATTTAAAAAAAAAATCCAAACCATAATCACTGAAGGGTAGGGGTGCATTTTTGCCTGCGTGTTTCTGAAGAACTGGCCTAATGAATTGTAATAGCTTTTCACATTTTAAGGAAAGAGGATGATTTTATCACAGCTAAGCATTAGTATGTATTACTTACGCTTTCTCAGAACTTACCTTGGAGAATTAGTAAGGAAGGAAAAAACACAAAAAGCCATACAGAAAAAATTCAGAGGCTACAAATAAGGATGGCCAAGATGCAGTAATTACAACACCACCTCTCCTTGAACTCAGTACAATTCACCGAGTATTGTTTAGTATCTAACTCCTTAAATTAATTGGCTTACATTTTATTTTTGTGATTGGCATAATTAGGAAAACCAAACTGAGAAATCATGATATTAGAATATTTTAAAGGCATGCCATCATAAATATTAACCAGTTTATTTACACAGTAGGATCTCTGTAACAAATGCTCTGCTCGGTGCCACATTCCAGAATAGCCACTGTTAGTGTCTTTTTCTAAATTTCTTATATCAACAGGTTTCACAAACACTCCTGAGGGCTTTCCAGTATGCTTGGCTACCAGAAAATTCATGGCAATATCATCACAATTTTGAGTTTCATCTATTAAGGCGTGAACAGCTTCTGGCTGTCTTTGAAAGTCTTCTAAATACCCACTATGAAAAAATGCTGCACCGATGAGAACCATAGAATACTGATCTCCGTTTCCAAATCCAGGGTTCTGCAATTCAAAGCTGCCATAACTGTATACACCTGAAGGAGTAGAAATGTGCTTTCTAGGAACAAATCCCACTATGTGCTCTGGAAATTGCTGAAAGAAAAAAGAAATTTAAAAAAATCAAAGTGAAGCCCACACTGTGAAACGTGTGTTAAGTATTTTCATAAAAGAGATTTCAGGTTTTTTCAATGAGAGGAGCACAAGATTATTGCCAGGAAAGAATGAAGTTGTTGGCACACGGTCCTTTGATTGGCACCTATGTTGCAATGAAATACAGTTTTGCAAAACTGACGCAATATGCCTCATTCCACATCACGTAGTGCCAAGAAACATCTATCCACAGTTTGCAGCTGTATATTTGGCACTCAAAGTAAGTTTACAGACAATTTCTCTTTGAGAGAAAAAAAACCTATACACTTTTGTTTTGCAGCCTACTATTAATTCAAATTCAGCAGTCAGCAACTTAAGTGTTCATGTACAATAAGAGTTAAGAATTTGGAAGTTGAGGATTACAGGTATAGCTACTATTGAAGAACATTTTTGCAATTTCTACTATTAAATCTTTCAATCCTTCTAAAATTTAACTTTATAGCTAGAAAATCAATGGTAAAACATTATGATACAGTATTACTCTAATCAAAGCCACTAGTCTCAATTGTAACTCAGAAATACTGCCCGCCAAGGTGCAAAACATTACCTGCCAAACAGAAAAGGCAAAAGCAAGGTCATGAGCACTGACTAGTGTATCATCGTCCATCATCAGAACAGCTAAGGGAGGAAAAAAAAGAGAAAAACTTTTAACTTATCAGAAGATTAAATACACGAGCACAGTATGCAGCACAGGATTTGACAAGTTAGCTGTGAAACTTCTACTACAACCATTAAGCTGAATTGCAGAACTGAATTGTAACTCCTTGAAAGCAGATTGAGAAAACATATTTCAAAGGTAAAGCAAGGTTGTAGCTTTGTGGTAACTGCAATCGAACCTAAGTTTTAGATTATTTGCCAGGCTGTAACAAAACTCAGCAATCTTTGATCACTTGTAGTACAGGTGATGTGTGTTGGAAAACTTGGAGTTTCTACTAATCTTGTGTAAAAATACAACTATAATAGTTAGATACTATTCTTTAGTGCATTAAATTTATATCTTAGTATAAAATTTTACCCATCTCCTCACTACTTTGAAGTTCTAAATAAGCAAGCTTAATACACTGCACAGGCAACATTCAATACGATTAACTACAGAAGGAAGAATCCGCGTCTTAAATTTTAGGCAAAAGACTATCAGGAAGTAGAAAAGGAAAGACGTTCTTAGATCAGAACTCCAGATGCTTCTAAGCTTTTTAAGTTTACAGTCAGCATAAATCCTATAAATAAAACACTTGGGAAGTTGAAGTTTCTAGTGTCTTCCTAGAAGTCACAGTTTTTGAGTAGCAAGGCATGTTAGGAAGGGGGCAGTAAACAGAATTACCTTTACTAATCATGAATAAGGTCAGGTCTGTAATGCAACATATGGGGGTTTTTTCCACTTGAAACAAACAGGACTTATTGTTGTGCTTCTCCTGGAAAGAGCTTAGGAAGAATATTTAGATGAACAGCCAAAAGACTAGGGAAAATACTCTTTAAAGGATGCATAATTTGAGATAGAAAGCCAGACAGCTAGGGAGGGAAGTTTCTCTGAAGAGCAGAACATACTTGAGAACTTAGTCTTAAAATGAATGGATTAAATCAAGTCTTTACCAAATGACTTATGTCCAAATTAATGCAGAGACTCAACAAATACACCCACCAGGAACTTCAGTTAACACTGCAAAGGGAAGACAGGCTGAACTACCCAAGTTTGCCTGACAAAGAAAATGGAGAACACACGCGGTTGCAAAAGCACATGAAATCCATTTGACATCCCTCTTTTTCGTTACTCTTCATTGCCAGCCTCTAGCCTGCTGGTGCCGATGGTGGTGTGCATCTGATAGAGGTTTCTTCTGTATTCCCCACATTCTACTAAGTGGCCCAATATATCCCTGGATTTATTACATAGTATAACTCAAACCATCTCTATTTTAGCATTCAGATTTTAAGTGTGAAAATAATATTAGTAGTAGTGTTATGAACTGCTGATTACCTTTTGTTTCCAGCTCAGGGAAATTCTGGAGTCTGTTCCTCATGCGATTTACAGTTTGAATTTTAAAGACAACAGGAACAGGATGAGGCCCCAAGGAATTCCACATTTCCTCTGGTATCTTCTCACCAATGTTGTTCCACACAACAATTACTTTATGTAGCTGGGGGATGGCTTGATAATGATTTAAAAGCTTTAGCAGTAAGTCAGTTCTATTATATGTCTGCATAATAAGAGTAAATGAATCCAGTGTAGACTGACTCTGGGTTTTTGGTTCCCTTCTCAAATTGGGCATTTTGTCATCTTTGATATTGGGAAGCAAAGCTGTTAAAGCACCTGCCACAAGAAGCAAGACAATGATCACCACGGAAGTGAAACGTAGTAGGCGGATTCCCATAACTCTTCCTGGAAGCTTACAGAAGTGAAAATACCTTTAAAACAAGTAACAGGAAAGGAAAAGTCATTAATCCCATGTACAGTTATCTCCTTTACTTGAGCAAAACTCCCACAATATTAAGTAGACTTTTGTTTAAGTAAATAAATAAGGAGGATTTTAGGACTTTGGCCAATTACTTTCAACTATCAAGACAGATACTTCTGGTACTCAGTTTCTGTATTTACTTGCCTTTCACTTTTTTTGTTAACTTTGAATCTCACTGTTTTGTGAAAATTAATCTAAAGTAAATCTTTAACTCTAGATCATTCATCATCTCTTATTTTCTCAGTACTGCTTTTTTGATTGAACACGTACATACCTCACCAAACCCATCCTAAAAATTAGAAAGCAAATTTGTACAGATTCAGTATTTTCAGCATTGCAAGAGCTTCGCCTTAAGATAGGAAACAAAAGAGAGAGAAGATGCCTCCTCAAGAGCTCTGGCAGAAAGGAGGAAGTAAAATGCTCTTTCTTTTCCCATAGCTCAAGCACCATACACAGAAGGAACAATCTTTATCACTGACTTGCTGGACATTTTGTCAATAGTTTGTATATCTGCTCAATGATGGTTATTAATATGAAAAATACATTTCTGATCATACTAATTTAGGCTAGAACACAGCTGGGCAAAAGAAACATGCCACATGGAGTAATGTAGGAATGCAACAACATCAGTAGCAACTGGACTGCTAAATCTAGAACTCAGCGGAAACGGGAAATGTCAGAGGCCAGGTGCTACGTATCGGCTAACTGGGGGAGCAGCCTTAAGATAAGGCAGGGGTTTCTGGACCCTCCTGATTTTGGAATTAAACAGGAGCTCTTAAAAAGCAGCTCCTACCAAGGTAGCCCCAACATTCGTGCCTCTTTGGTAGCACTCCCAGATCTCCAAACACTCATAAACTGTAAACTCAGCAGGATCCAGCAGCCATTGCATTCCATAGTTTGCCCCTCCAATGTGTCACCCACATCTGTTCTTCCTCCTTTACTTGCAGGATTAGTATGAAATGAAGATAAGATTAATAGTCTAAGCTTACTACTAACTACTTACTACTAGTTACTCGTCTATACATACTACTCATGTTACTCCATTAGTAATTTGTAGGCTTTCAGCAGGGAATTCTGATTAATTTAAAGCAATCCAGCACAGCCCCATCAATTACAATTTTTGAGAGAACAGCTGCATTTTTTCACAGAAGTTTTGATCATTTTTTTCTAAAGTGCAAATACCATGCTTGAAAATATGAAGGTAAATTATTTTAGTCTAAAAAACCCTCTCAACTTACCTCATTGTTGCCAAGTAGGATTGTCTTCCTCTCCCTTGTTTTTACAGGACAGTTGTTTGTGATCCTTGAATCTGCTGGAAAGTAAAGGGACTCTATAACTGAAGATCAAGTTATCCCACATGCTACCCACCATCCTTTTACAAGTAAGCATCCCTCTCAATTACTAGCTGATGTGTGCATTCTTGGCAATTATCCAATCCCTTTTCCTATTGCTCAGTGGAATAGTTGTCTCTGCCTTTCAGTGAACACTCCAAAAAGACGTTATTACACCAGCTGGTTAGAAAGAAAAGCACAGCATATTTCTCTGCTTGTGAAATTGTTCCTTTGTGCCAATGCAATGTCTATGGGTTCCAGCCTTAGGGTCAATTACAGAGGTACGAGCAGGTCTCCAGAACCTCACAGTCTGTTGCTTTGTTCACTAGGCACCACTAAAATATATATTTGGCTATCACAGTCAGCCAGGTAGTCCCAATAAAATTTTCTTTTCTGGCTCATCCCCTTCATGTTCTCTTACCAGTTGTGTTAGAGGTTTCCCATCTGTCTGGTCAGCTTGGCAGAAGGGAAAGCATATACGAATGTAAGCACAAAAAGGAAGGATGCATAGGATGCAGGACAGCAATTTATGTTATTTTAGAGCTAGTTAAACAAAGAAAGGGGGGTTTTATTTTTTATTTAGGAATGGTACTACGAAAGCTTAGAGAACAAGAATTTATTGAACTCACTGAATAATTGAACCTCTATGAAATTTCTTAAGAGTAATTTGTTTAGGTTATATAAACTTGCTTCTTCAAAGTACAGAATTGCCAATTTGTGAACATACCAATCTGAGTATGTTCACACATACAGGTGTTCCCAAATCTGAGTTCCAATTTTACCGCTGACTTATTTTGTGAGGCTAGAGAGGCCACTGAAACTATTTCCAGAAGCTAACCACTTGTTTTGGTTGCTTCATTTTATACGTGTAGACAATCATGCCTCACTTCTAAAAGTGATGAGCAGCAGTGGCTACTCAGCACTTCTGAGGTCCACCATATCTTGACCATATGCGCTTTTAAAAACCTGAACCTTAGATTCTCTTTCCCCAGTTGGAACCTAAACGCAACAATAGTTACCAATGCTACTGTAACAATTAATTAGTTAAGATTTAAAAGCATACTTAAGATGAAAATAGAATGCTGTTTACTACGGTACTGAGACTTCCTGGCTTTCCATACATTCTTGCTTTTACTCAATTGCATACAATAGGCTGCAACAGTAAATAAGGGTGATATAATAAACTCTTTACTTAAGATAAACGCCTACATAAAATCTTTAAAATTAATGTATTGGCACTTTCCATTAAGAACGCGTCCATCAGTTTTGCCAATTAAGAGATGAGACTGCAACGCAAGATTGACCTCTTAAAAAATTCTTACAACACCCCCAGTAGAGATTCTTCAAATTACAACTGAGGGAACTAAAACCCGTCTGGCGAAAGGAAGCACTGCAGCCGTCATTCCAGGACTTCTGCACGCGTTCCCCTGGCCGCGGGCAGCACCCCGTTAGCAGCACCGCACCACGGGG